GAAGAAGAAGAAGAAGAAGAAGAGCTTTTTCTAGTAAAAGATTATAAGCAATAAAAAATAAGTTGTAGGGTTATGAAATGTTGAAGTTAAAATAACAATTAAAAATCTTAAAAAAGTATTTGATTATTTTTAGAACTACAAAAACATAAACTAAAAAACTTAAAAATATTACAAAAAAAAAATAAAAAAAAAAATAATAATAATAATAATAACAATGAATAATAATAATAATAACTAAAAAGCTATTTTTATCATATGCACAAATCCAAAATCCAGAATAAGCCCATTTTGTTATCTACTTTCCTTATCAATAAAGATCCATCAAATTTTTTGAGGAATTTGATTATATGCATTGCTAACCCCAGAAATTTTGTGAAGCAATTGGATGGCTCCCTTATGGAGTCATCCATAACTTTATGGACGGACACATGTCCAATGTGCATTTATTGCAGGACACCTGTCAATACATCATTTGTGAAAATCTCTCACATTGCTTTTGCAGGTAAACAGAGGCATGCTCCCACGTCACAAAATCCAGTTTATTTTGTTTTGCACATCTCAATTATTTACATGAAACAAGTTCAAGAGTAAGCAAATAAATGGTAAGCAACTTGAAACATATATGATCTAAAATACAGTTGAGATGAGATGATCTTGAATTCTTGATCCCATGGCATATAGTAAAACATAAGAGAAACAACAAAACAATGCATTTTATTACCAGAAAGAATCCCTAATGTACAACCACCCAAAGTCATTCCATCAATCATTTCACCCCCTCCCCCCCTTCACCAAAAGCTGAACAGAACGTACAACCGGAAAAGAAATGTATAAAGGGAACGAAAAAAACAGGATAATCGAACCTGTACGAACGGGCATGAGCAGTAGTTTACACTTGCAGCAGACAACAACTCTACCCTATTTTCACATTCCCAGCAGTTTTTCCCCTTACATCATTTAATTCTCGACCAAACTACTAGCCAACGGCACGCAATACAGAGTAATATTACGTATAATCGTGCCGCCTAAATATCGAAATCACACTCAAACCACACCAAACACGATCACAAACTAAAATCAAATAAAAAACACCCGAAAGGCAGCTAAATTAGAAAAAAAAAAGAAAGACGAACATTTTGGAAAGGGCATCGTTTGTCTCATTTCCAGCACACACACACACATCACCTAATTAACGAAGAAGCTAATGTAACTTAAAGCTAACATTGCACCCTTTCGAATTCGCCCGCTTAAGCATACCTTTCGCGGGCTCTACCGGCGACGGTGGTGACGCGTTCACAGGAGATGACTCGTTTTTTTGCAAAAGCGATGTCGACGGGCACTTAAGAATCCCCTTAATCGGCTTATCATTATTTTTCGTCTCCTTCTCATTGAAATCGAAAATGTCATTTTTGCCCTTGGCGTCCCGTGGGGTCGACTCTCCCGACGGAACATTGTTCACGTTCACGAGCACGTCCACAATCGATACGTCCCTGTTATTACCAAGGGCATTTTCATAACTATTGCTCGGCGTCTTGTTATTGTTATTGCCTAGTTGGATGAGGGTATTATTATTATTCTTCCTCTGCACGACCTTCGGCAACTTGAACCATCCCTCGGCCAACAGATGAAGGGAGTTCAAGTTCTTGAGAAACGAGCCCTTTTTCGAACGATAATTATTATCCATCGATTTCTTCCTCTCGTCCTTGGCGGTGAGTAGTCCCATCCCAATTAGTGACGTGATGAAAAGTTGACAGATAGCTGATTTCATTTGTTCGTGCCTCTCGAACGACGAGGCCTCGGTTAACCCGATCATGCGCTTGATCCCGAGGACCTTGCGCGCCAGCTCGTCGAGCTCAGATTTTCGAAACCTAGAGTCCTTGAGGATCTTGGCGGCTAGGTAGCCGATGTCCGACTCGTTTCGGTTGAGGCCGAGCTCCTCGAACGGGAAAAGCTCGATTTTCTCGGGAAGACCGAAGCACACGATGTGGATTCTTTTGTCAGAGAGGAATTTGTGGATGCTGGGAGGGAGGGCATCACCGACCCGGAAGCGGAGAACGACGCAGCCCAGCCCGAAACAGAGGAGGAGAAGAACGACGGACGGGTCGCGTGGATGGTGCATGACGTCGAGGCCCACGATCGGGCGGCGGGCCCAATCCTTTCCGTTTGGGAAGAGAAAGTCCATTTTGCATAGGGATTCGAAATCCTTTGTCTTGAAGGTCATCCCTTCGAGCTTTACCTCGAAACGATCCGTTCGCAAGTATACGGTCCCCGCCATTATTTTGCGCTTACATATATTCGTCTTTATATTCTCTGGTGGTCATAGAATGACAAAGAACAACACGAAATAAAGAAATCTCTAAGGAAAATATACCAAAGGGCAAAAAAAATTTGTATGTGGGAAGCTCTTTGTTGTAATAGAGAGCAACAAAGGGGAAGGAAAACTAACGGCTATACTAAATTTAATCCTATTTATAGAAATGAGGGGAAGAAGTTTGTTTTCTGGATTATGTAAGCTCATCTAAAAGATAAATGTGTCCTAATTAATTTGGTCAATGGAGTTTGTGGTTGTTCGTAAATGTAGCAATTTTTTGTTCAAGGTTTAAGATAATAATTAAGGATTTTGCAGTTTGTTTTGGCCTAGAATAGTGGAGATGGAAATGCATAGCGTCCACGTGTGTGATTACGATTTGGAATTAAACATTAAACATTATTGTGTATCATCCTCTCCCAGTTTAGCAAGATTCACCGTCGAGTTCAATTCGAACTCGTCGTCGTCGTCAAACCGCGGTCCCATACACAAACGCCGATCTCAAATGGAATCAACCCCACCCATCCATTTGACAGAGATAATTGCATTATCCCAAGAAAACAAACAACCTCTGATATTCTTCAAGTTGTTGAGGGAGTCGAGCATGCAAGTATCTGCTATCGGGAACAACATGCTCAACAACCGAGTGCCTAATCAAACCACCCAAAAGTGGGACTACTTAGTAAAATTGTCATATAACTCATTCAATTTTTCAAGGCTTAAGCATTGACTCAGTTGTTTAGGAAGTATCTCACTCAAATCATTGTTATTCAATACGAAAGTGGCTTATTTCTGTAGCATGCCCAAGGATTGAGGAATTATCTTACCAACATTCTCAGTGAAATGCACGCTCATCACATTATTGCATAAAACATATATGCAATTCCAAGAAACCATTTGCATGTCAGAAAGGGTCATATATTTCAATAGGCCCACTTTGCTGCAGACATAATGTTCTTCAGTCGCTGGCTGCTCCTCACTGAACATAGACTTCCCGTCATAGTCGACGGTCCCACAGTCCCCGGCCAAAAGTGCACTTGAAAAACTTGGCGTAGGACAAGACGCTTGTTCCTCAGTTTCTCGCAAGAAAAACACCACAAACCGTCCGCGGGTTGGCTGCTAGTGGACGCTGGTATCCATGTGCGGATGAAACCTGCCGCAACTGGCGTAGGTGCTCCAGACTTCTCTGTCTCTGATGTTTCTTCGTAGAAGACTGGTGGTTCGTCGTAGAAGCCACTGTCTTCCGTGAAAAAAGGACGTGATCTGCCGACATCCTCGATCAAGTTTTTCTCCGACCCCAGATGCTCATCATAAAAAATCGACAAACCATCGTAGAAACTGCCCGCATCGATGGTCCACCCACGAAAACCCATCTCTTATCATGGCTCACCAAAGTCCTCAGTCTCATGTCGAGGCTCGCAACGACGCTGCTCCTAAAATCCACGTAATTTACGGCCAAACGACACAAGTCGTGAAGGTCGTCCTCGTCGAAGCTCTCAGCTTCATGGCGCGCTTGCTGGTCGCCGAAGGGATTGACGTCCGAAACAGTCTCCTTGCTGTCGTCTTCGCCGGGCAGTGGTGGTGGCGAATGCCGGCACGGTGCTCCGACTATGCCATGTCAGCTATGGAATCTCCCACGCACGCCCCGATCGGCAGCGTCACGGTACGTATGCGCACCCTCCACCATGGTACATATAGTGAGACGAAATTCCTCTGTACCCGTTCATAGATCTGTGAATTGATCGTCCATCTGCTGAAATCGGTCCTCCATCTGTTGAAACCGTTAGTTGATGGCGGCGTCACGCCCCGGTTGATTTCATCTTGCTGTTGCGGTGGTCTCATGAATCGTGTTGACTTCTGATACCGGTTGATGTAGCGTGGTAGACGATTGGAAATAAAAGAAAAGAAAACTATCTCGATACCAAATATTCTTATTCAAAATCCACCAAAGAACATCAAAGAAGATGAGTCCTTTAAATAAGACTCTCAAAACCATAAGACTAGCTTGTCCACCAAGCCAAAGTTAATCTATACATATATAATAAGAATAACCATTTACTGAAAATAGTAGTAAAAAAATTTTGGAGCATTTAATGCATGCAATGTTTTTTAGAAACTTGTTAAATATATGCATTTATTGTTTCTATATAATTTATTAAAATAAGATCAAATTATATATGATAAAATAATATTGTTTCCATATATAATTTTATTAACAACTGCAACAATTTCATTGATATCCATTTTAATAAATTACAAAATTTATTTTTCGTGATTCATGTTGATAATATTCTGGTCAAGATAAATATTACAACATATTTTAACTTCTAACCATAATATTATTTTCAGAATTATTCACTTTTTATCCAAATAATATTTATAGAAAGTCATAAGAAGTTATATAGATTTTTTATTCTAATTAATCAGGCAAAATTAAGTTGGTGAACTAATCTTTGTCAATATAATTTTTTCTTAAGTTTATTTTTATATATATAAAAATAAATTATAATTCAAATGAATATAATTTACCATTTAAGAGATAATGACCAGATATATTAAATAGTTTTACTAATTGTCAAAGATTAAAATTGAAATATATTAATTGTTCTTTAGATTCTATTTATATATTATTGGCAACCATGATTATTTTTTTTACCATTTTTTATTTTAATTTATTCCTATGATGAAATTATTATAAATTTTATTTCATTGAAGTGCATGCTAAATAAACTATAAATCCTTATAATGCAAATTAGAAAAATCTTGAGTGTAGAAGGGATTGAGTTCTTGGCATTTTCTAAATCACAGTTGTTTAGTTATAGTATACAAAATTAAATTCTAAAAAAAACATATGTGAATATTTTGTAAAATATTTATAGATTATTTAATTTTAGAATTATTTAAATATTTTAAATTAATTACATTAATAAATAATAATAATGTGCCTTAAATATTTTTCATTACATAAATAAAAAGAAAAAGAATACGTATAACTTCTATAATTTTTGTAAATAAAAACGACATTATATGACAACAAAGTTTATAATAAAATAATAATTAAGTATTATATTGTGAACAACAATAATTAAAATCGATGTTTTCTTTTATATCAAAGAATAAATATATATACTAAAATTAAATTTACATTTGTACAAATGCGTTAATGATATAATATATTAATTATTTTATAAGTTAGCCTTAACATGCTTAGCACTAATCTATACTTATATAATAAGATATCCTATTTACCAAATTTAGTAGGTTGAAAAGTCAACGTAATTAATACATTGCTATTTCTATCCAGAATTTTATTTAATTATTTTATTTATTTGTCTTATATCCCATAAAATCAGTTTAAGAAAAAAATCTCATAACATCTGATAAGTAAAAAAAAAGACGTAAAATCTTTACTAAAATAAAAAAAGGCTTTATTTAGTTGTCTTATTCCATATTAACATCGATTTTGTCAAAACAAATCCCATAAAATCGGTGAAGTCAAAATTTGTACGTAAAGTCTATCTATACTAAAAAAAAGGCAGATTCAAAA